TTATCGATTTTTCTTTTATGCCAAAAATCATTAGGATATTAAGTAAAGATCATGTTCCGTTAAGATATTTTGTAAATTTCCTACTGTAAATATATTAAAACTTAATTTTTGATTAGTAATATGCATTGCTAAGAACTTCATTTGGACAACTTTAAAGACAATTTTATTTTGATTGTTTTGCACCCTCAGATTCCAGATTTTCAAATAGTTGTATCTTAGCCAAATATTGTCCACACCTAACACACCATACATTAATGGAAAGCTTATTTATTTTCTTTCAGAAAACTGACCCTTATGACTTTTGTGGTCCAGGGTCACATTTTAGCATAAAATGAGCATTTTATTTAATAAGCGCCTCCAAATCAGTTTATTTGGGCACTAAAAGTACTAGCAAATATCATCACACTTTATTTTATTTAAATTGTGATGAAATGGAAGTAGCGACAGATCTTTTCATTTGCTTTGTGACGTGCCAGAAAGAATTCTGTCGTTTTGCTGGAACATCAAAATTACATTACGGGGTAAAACATTTTTATATAAATAAATAAATCACGTACACAATTAAATCAGTAACTTATTTTTAGAAAATATATAAAGTGAATTTCTATTTCATGACGATATATATATTTGTAGTTATGTAGTTTAAGCAGCTTTACAGAAAATTAAAGTTTCTACATTATATTTAGTAATCCATATGGCAGAAATGTACGGTAAAAATCAAGCAATTAGTGAATGTCATGTAATCAAACAGACGGTGAACACTATTAACAGCAATGATTATATGCTGCGATCAAACTTATAGCAAAATTTGGTTGTTTTGTATGTTGTCTGAGGGTTTGCATCATCTGAGGTCTTCTGAGGGGTTGGCATCATCTCTTTCGGTCATCTCAGGTCTTTGTAAGGGCTGGATCCAGACTGAAGCTTGTGTAATTCCTAGTTACCACAGGATGCCAATCCCTAAGAAAATAGAGAAAAATTAGCGTAGCTGCTGTTCCAACTAATCAAAAAACTAAATAAATAAATAAAACAGCATCATAACTAGCCATGTATCCAAACGCATTGATTTAGCTCATTTGCTTAATGAATCAGGTGCTAAAATAACACAACATGCAATGTGCATGTGCAAATAAATAACACATTTGACTCTTGAATTCTCTCCTCTGTTCACACGTGAGGGTATATGTGTTATACATTTGTGTGTTTCTGTGTATAATGTGCCTTAGTTAGATGCTGAAGAGCTCTACAGGCAGCATGTGCAGGTACAGTACAAATCCCTCACATCCTTTTAGTGCCTTTTCTATGTAATCCACTACATCCTGTGTCACCTGGATGGGTTTCAGACACTCTTAGCCACAGTCACGCGCGCCTAAAGCAGCCCTAAAAGCATTAAGCCATAGAGGCTAGTAGCAGGTGCACAGAGCCGAGGTATGTGAGAGAATACCTCACTCATAAAGCCCCGATTCCACCCCCCACCTACACACAGTGGCATCTTATCTGACCCGTTGCTCAAGTACATTTCTCTAGCCTCACAATAGAGTTTGGATTGAAAGGATTTAATCGTACTGGCACCAGCAGAGACAACAGCTTTTCCATTTGAAAATGTGCTTACAACCAGCTAAGCCAGTGTAGTGGTGTGAAAAAGGGAAAAATGAAAACAGGAAGCCTCAAGTTGTTTATTAATCCAGTCGGAATTTTCCACTTATACCCCAGTTGTATTAATCCAGAACTTGACCTCTGTTCCAGAGCTGGGGGTCACCTATGCAACAAATTGGGATACAAAATGCCAGAACTTTTGAAAATGTGTTGCTTTTGTATAACCTTCAGTGTTGTTATTGTTAGGTTGTTTCATCTTGGTTAATAGTTTGTTTTGTTTTGTTTTGTTTTGTTTTGTTTTGTTTCGAAATAAAGCTGAAAAATAGAAATGCTGCCTTCACAACTGAGTAAAAATATTAGGTTGAAGTATTAAAAATCCTAAATCTGAAATAAAAATAAATATCTAATTAGAAATATAAAATACAAAAAATAATAAAAATGACAAAGGCATAAAAATAATCACTGAAACTTACAATAAAAATATAATAAAATAAAAAATAAAATAAAATTACATACTAATTTAATAACTAAAGTAACACTGATAACATTAATTTGATTTGTTTATTCATTTATTTATTTTTGTTTATTCAGTTATGTATTCATTTATTTATTTTTATTGTATTTTGTGAAGACTTTTGTTCATATTTTGTTCATAAAGTTCTTTTTTAAAAGAAAAAAAAACATTTTGGATACTTTTGTCCTTGTTTGCATTTCTTTCTGACCTCTTTTTTTCTCTCTCTCTCTTTGGTTGCATTGCAGCGGTTTGCAGTGGAGAGATCACAGATTCAGCTGGGGTGGTGTTGTCTCCAAACTGGCCTGAGGCCTATGATAAGGGTCAGGACTGCATCTGGGGGATCCATGTTGAAGAAGACAAGAGGATCATGCTAGACATCCAAGTGTACGTCAAAGTGAATGACATGTTCGCACATTATACCACAGAAACCTTACATAGTCCTCACAGTTTTGAGAGAGTTCTGGATCTGTCAGCCAGGACTTTGATTTCTTTTCCTCTATGATGACCATCTTATATCATGGGGAAATAAATTGCATTATATTGTAAGGCTGCATGATTAATCAAAACAAAACTGAAATCACAGTCAGCTTAGAGCAATTATCAAATCACAAAGGTTGCAATTTAATTTTAAAAAAAATTTATATATATATATACAGTATATGCTGCATGTTTCAGAGTGAAGCGTGACACTGTGTTAATTTACATCCTTGTTTTCAGTATCTCAGAGTGGCTCAATTCACAGTAAATCCTGCTCCACACAAACTCGTATGCTCTGATTTTGGGTCACTTATAACATGGATTTTAAAATGCAACATGCGCCAACCATCTTCCTTTAGTTAATGAAATATTATAATAAAAAGCACTTATAAACTGGCTTTTGTCAACTAAAAGAGAAGCTTTAAGGGCTCCCTGCAGTTTCTGCCAAAATAAAAGCTTGATGTAATGTTTGAAAATTAAGAAATTAGGACAGCCATAAATATTAGTATTGTAATTTTACAGTTGTTCTGTAAAATGTTTTTTAATACTTATTTTTTTATAGTGAAATATTACAATGGTAATATTTCTTATTTAAAGTAATAATATATTTAGTAATATTATTGGTAGTATTATATTGATATATATAATTACATGTTTTGGTCGAATTTTGCAGCCCTACACACACAGCACCTGGGGCTTAAATTGTAATTTTTATCAGAAAATTTGGAATTCGATTTTTTCCTTAAATCGTGCAACTCTATTATATTCTCTCTGTAGCTATTGAAAATATTTTCTGCTGCTATACAGATGCCAAATTCATTTAATTTAATGTGATTTAACTTTAAATCTACCACAGTAATATAATATCTTTAACTGGGTGGCTTTTCTCAGTAAATAATAACAGTGATAATTAATTCTAACACATTTTTGATCAAATGACAGCTCTAGTTATATACCATGTATGAGGGCAAGATGACCCAAACTTATTTATATTCTCCCAAAATCTCTGCGTTTGACCTCTCCAGAGTTTTTCAGTGGACATAACTGAGCATTTAATGTATCATCACTAGAGAATGCAACTGATACATCTGCTGCATCCTTTACTCACACTGAGATAAGTGTGGTTCAAATCCACTGTGGCTTCATCAAGACCTTTCAACACACTCCCTTCATACCCATCAGTCTCTAACTGTAGATTTCTACAGACTCAAACTCGTATCACCATGCGGCCATCTTTCTGCTGGGTTTGTCCTTGATGTGGCTGAGATTGCACCGCAGTTACAAATTCTGGTGCTTTGCATCATCTGCTCCCCACTGACCGATTCGGCTCCATTCTGCTCTCACTGTCCAAATGAAACACCCGTCATATCGCTCTGGGCATTTTGTGAGATTTCTGTTGAACTGCGACGGCCTAGAACTCAAAGACCTCGATTGGCTTTTCTGAAGATCTCCAAGAGCATACATCTTTAAAGCACTGTCACAACAGCACAGCTTTCTTTCAAATTTACTCTAAACTCTTTGAGAATTAACCCAAAAACAAGCTGAAGTCCTCTGTGTTGCATCAATAATTACTGTGATCAGTGTGGTACGGCGCTTCCTTAGTGGCTCCTGCTGTCAGCCAAGTTCTCAAAGACAAGATAGCTGTTGCCTAGCTTTATGCTGAATTTAATTGAGGGGTCATGGGAGAGGTTGAGTGTATCTGTAAATTGCGGTTAACATCACATCAGGTTTACTCGGTTCACACTCTCTGCCAAATGCAGTCAAACTGCGCTGGCGGGGAGATTGAAAGATGGCAAGCGAGAGAGAGTTATTTTCTCTGCAGATCCTCGTGGGGGGAAAGACTTGAGCTGCTTGGAGATGCAAGGGAAAAATACTCTTTTCCAAAACCTATTGAGATGCCTATAGAGGTGGCATTTTTAAGGCGTCATCAATGCAAAAGCTGTGCCAATAGGCAACTTAATTATTTGACATCTTAGGACACCTAATTTTAACCAGAAATATTTGTATGTAGCATCATTTGTACATTTCACAGACAATGCACTCCCAGAATGCTTTGCGGCAAGCTCACAACCTAACCAAAGATGGCTTATGCTCATAAAGGCTGCATTTATTTGGCAAAACTGTATTATTGTAAAATTTTATTACAATTTAAAATAACTGTTTTCCATTTGTATATGTTTTAAAATGTAACTTATTCATGTAAAGATTCATTTTTAGTAGCCAGTGTCACACGATCCTTCAGAAATCATTCCAATATGATATGCTTAATATTCGTGGTGCTCAAGAGACATCTCTTATTATTATCAATGTTAAAAATGTTTGATCTGCTTAACGTTTTTTGTGGAAACATTGATACATTTTTTCAGGATTATTTGATGAATATGAAGTTCAAAAGAACAGCATTTATGTGATTTTTTTTTATTTTATTTTTTTATATTATAAATGTCTTTACAGTCACTTTTGATCAATTAATTGAACCCCTACTTATTTAAACGCATTAACGTTTAAAAAAAATAATCTTACTGATCCCAAACCTTTGAGCAGTAGCTATAAACAGAGTTTGAGAGTCTGCTCTGAAAGAGAGTGGCAAATGGGGAGTTGAAAAAAGAGGGCAGATGAAGGGGCATGTTGTGCATAAAGAGGATGCAGAAGTGGGATGCACATTGCACAAAGGTTAATAACGAACTCAACAGAACAACAATTATTTTATTGGATGTTTTTATGAATGTGAAATCAATTATGTGAGCAGGGAAACAAGTGTTGAGTGTGATTGTGCCGTCAGGTGAGGTGCGGAACATGAGGCCCGACTGTGTCAGACCCAGATAGATTATTCATGCATTCAATAATTTGGCTGCCTTAATTAAGATTCGCTCATTTGCATATGGTTCCTTTCACATTTGTCATGTTTTCTCTCTCTCTCTCATTGCAAGTGTCCCAGCTGCAGCGCTACATTGTGCGGCTGTGTAATAAATGACATACTGGATGTTTTGCTGGAGATGCAGTCAACATAATTAATTTTCCATTTATTTTGTAGTGGAGGTAATGGAGGGAGATGGTGAGTTTTCGTTTTTCCTGCTGGTGAGGCCACGTGTTTCTACATGAGGTCCAGATGTCTTGAGACAGATGTACTGGTGGATATTTGCTGATGTAGATATTTGCCCTGTTTATACCTGATATTAACATCTGTTTTGGATTGAAACAAGGTAGGACGACACTAAATACTGGTATAAAAGGGATCCAAAATGTTGATTCATATACATGCACTTCAGTAATTCTGATGTCAACGTGCATCATGACAGATCATGTGAAGCATTCACATCTGAAATGAAGTTAATACAATACAAATTTATTTGCAAATTGATGAATATAGTGCACAGTTTTGTGCAATTAATCACTTCTAACATGCACTAACATTCAAAAGTATAAACAAATTGATTTTATTAAGCAGGGGTGCATTAAATTAATCAAAAGTGACACTGTGTCACAAAAAAATCTATTTTCAAATAAATGCTGTTCTTTTGAACTTACATACATACATATAATATATATATAGACACACAAAAAAAATATTAGACTGCACAACTGATTTCAACATTGATAATTAAAAATAAATAAATAAAAATTGAGCAAATTGGTGTATCAGAATTTCCGAAGGATCATGTGACACTGAAGACTGGATTAATGACTGCTGAAAATTCAGCTTTGCATCACAGAAATACATTTTTTAATATATTCAAAAAGAGTTATTTTAAATTGTAATAATATTTCACAATATTCCTGCTTTTACTGCATTCATAAGATACTTCTTTCAAAAACATAAAAACAAATCACCTCAAACATTTAATTGGTAGTGTACAACTTATAATCAGAAATATAGAATCCCCAAATTAATGCAGAATGAACATTAAGAAAGTAATATTTTTAGCTTTTGTTTTTGTAAGTTTCTGAGGATAAAATGAGTAATTATAGCCTTTTAATATTATTTGTAAGCCATAGTCTATGCCTAAACTACAAACGATCAGTGTTTTTGTTTATTGGTTATTGAAGCAATAAGGGACTCGTAATTAGCTTGAACATATAATATGAACATTGGCATAGCCTCGGAAATTGAAAATAAATTCCCTAATAATGGCCAGCTGTATTTAGTTTTTTCTTGTGATTTCATAATTTGATCATCTTAATATCAGGTGTACATATTGATTGAGCAGCAGAGGAACATGGGTGTATTGGTCATGGTGTGTTTGGAGTCATTCTGATCTGCTGCGAAGCCCATGCATTCCCCACCCTTATAATTTTCAAATGACCAAATTTATCAAAGGACATATGGGACATTATCAGCCAGGCACATGAAGTGAGACATATAGGGAAGGAAAATGAGTGAGGAGGGATCCAACCACAGCTGTTCAGCCCAGAGAGACTAATAACAAATCTTCTAGCGCTAGTGCACACACTTTTAATATTTCACTTATGTCCTAACATTCTTGCAGGCATCTTCTTACAAGAAATCATTGACCCACCACAGGTCCTCATTGCTGCGTAGGTGTCCTGCAGAGCCCTTTGGTTGCACTTGGATCATTGGTACTGTAATACCAGGGCCCGGGCCACTGCTGGAGGCTCATTATGGGTCTGTAAGAACATTTTAGCCCGATAATGAATATGCACCCACTCCTCCATAATCATTCATCAATGTACGGCGCATTCCCAATTACCTGAGAATGTGGGGCGTAATGAAGGCTGATGAATTCATTTAGCAGGGAGGGTTTCTCACACTGAATGTGCCAGGCCATGAATCAGAGGAAGGGGGGAGAGAGGTGCACAGGTGACAGCTGGCACACCTGCACACAGTCTTTCATAGACTTAGCTGCACAGCAGGGAATGCTGGATATATCAAAACCAGTCGAAGTCCG